ACAACTGACACAATGCCAGATCAAGAGGCTGGCTGTTGACACCAGTGCACTCTCTTGTCACTGCCACCATGACCAACCCTCTCATTGTCATCTACATGACATTGGTCAATCCACTATAATGGCATCAAGCTTCACTAATCCACTCTAGGCCTCTCTCATCCTCACTACTGTGAACTACAGGCTTCTCTTGTCATCACCATTGTGACCCTGTTTTATTTGATCTCTGATTCAATCAAAATCCAACAGAGACATTCTGTTATCAATCTGCCAACCCACCTTACCAAGCTTTACCATGAATCAACAGAGTTTGGCTTCAACACCCTGTCCTCATCACATGACCACTGGTTCATCAAACACCTCACTAGTGTCATTTTCAACCATGAAGAAAGGTGTACTCAACCCCACTAACAACATGCTGAATTGGCTTCAATAATCCACTCCAGGCCTCTCTCCTGACACCAACCAAACCAACAAATTGGTCAACTACCACCCTACCAACAAAACCCTTACACCTAATCACTTTTCAAAAAGCAACTAAAGAACTGCATTGACCTCTTCAAAACTAGGGTTACCTGTTATCTTTCCTGCACAACCCCATGAAATTCACTTCTTGTCTTTTCTTACATTCATACAACACCACACGGTAACCTGCTATATTGTGTAGCCCTTGGGCCTTGTATTGGGTGAACATTGTTATACTCCATTGTAATTAAATCTTATTCTGATTCATTCTGCATGCTGGCAAGATGTGACCGCCATGAAGGCAGAGGATGAATTAACAAAAGTCGTTTTCTGTACATTAGTCTCCATACACCATGTCCGGTCTACAAAGTGAATTCTGGCGGTGGCTAAACATAAATGTTCCTGCTGATAAAAGAGATGCCCCTTGGGACTACCAGACCTGCTTAAAAGCAGGCTCTGAGGACAACCAGACACTGTTGTAGACTGGTGCAGCCGCTGGCCATCACACAGTGTGCTGCTGCTGTTACTGTCGCCATGACCTAATCACCATGACAACAGAGTTGCGGATCGGTCACCATGCAAAGCACTCTTACTGTCACCATTGCTGCCTTCACTGCCACCACTTAACAGGACCAATTATCTCAACAACTATTACCACTTCCTGGCTTGACCTACCAATTTGGCCTACCTTAACTCGTTTACAATGCATTCCCTTCACAGTTGACCCCAGCAACATCCACTCCACAGAACAGGTCTACCTCAACTTGTTTACAAGGCATTCCCTTTGCAGTCAACCAAGTGACCTCTGCTCCACAGAACAGCTCTATCTCGACTCGTTTACAAGACATTCCTTTCACGGTCGATGCAGTGACATCCGCTCCACAGAACAGCTCTACCTCAACTCATTTACAAGGCATTCCTTTCGCAGTTGATGTAGCAACCTCTATTCCACAGAACAGCTCTACCTAGATTTGATTACAAGGCATTCCCTTCACAGTCGATGCAGTGACCTCTGTTTCACAGAACAGATCTACAACTCATTTACAGGGCATTCTCTTTGCACTCGATGCAGCGACCTCCATTCCACAGCTCTGCCTCGACTCGTTTACAAGGCATCCACAGAACTGGCCTCCTAACACCTGTCATCACCTTGGCCTACCATGATTATTTACAAAGCATTCCCTTTGCAGTTGATCCCAGCAACATTTGTTCCACAAAACAAGATGACCTATGATTGTGACTTTCATTAACCAAACACGCACCAACTATATCCTGTGACTTCGGCCATGCCAGCATAAGAAATGGTTCAACTACTGACACTATGCATACTCTCGATTACTATTCCTGTACTCTCAACCAACAATAAGTTGGTTTCACTCTAATCCCCATTATTCCTTTCTCTTGCTATCATATGCTTAATATAACAACTGGTGTCAGAAGCTTATGGTGAAAGAAATGGATATAACTCACATCAGCAGCAAAGGATTACCAAACTCAACAAAACCAGCAAAACATTCTCTCTTTACCAACAATCAACTCATTCCTAACTTTACCACTTGCTGTCTATGAATTAGACTGAGATATGGGAGAGCTGTTATATTCCATTGCAATTAGATCTCATTCTAAGTTATTCTTCACACTGGCTGGATGTTACCACCATGAAGGCAGAGGATGAAATAACAAAAGTTAGTTTCTGCACATTGAGCTCCATGCACCACATCTGGTATACAAAGTGAACTCCAGTGGTGGCCAATCACAAACATTCCCGCCTGTAAAAGAGATGTCCCTTGGGACTACCAGCCCTGCTTAAAAGCAGGCTATAAGGACAACCAGATACAGTTGCGGTCTGGCATGGCCAACAGCTGTCACACAGGGTGCTACTGCTGCTACCGCCGTCATGACCTCATCACCATGACATCAGATTTGTGAACCAGCCACCATACAAAGCACTACTATTGCCACCATCACCACCTTCACTGCTACCCCTTAACATGACTGCACATAACAACTGTTACCACTTCCTAGCTTGACCTACCACCTCAACCTACCTCAATTCATTTACAAAGCATTCCCTTCACAGCCGACCCAGTGACCTCCGTTCCACAGAAGAGCTCTATCTCAACTTGTTTACGAGGCATTCCCTTCACAGTCAATACAGAGACCTCAATTCCACAGAACAGCTCTACCTCAACTTGCTTACAAGGCATTCCCTTCACAGTCGACCTAGCAACCTCTATTCCACAGAAAAGCTCTACCTTGATTTGTTTACAAGGCATTCCTTTCACAATCGATGCAGTGACCTCCATTCCACAGAACAGCTCTACCTCAACTTGTTTATAAGGCATTCTCTTCACAGTCGACGTAGTGACCTCCATTCCACAGAACACCTCTACCTCAACTTGTTTATAAGGCATTCTCTTCACAGTCGACGTAGTGACCTCCATTCCACAGAACAGCTCTACCTCAACTCATTTACAAGGCATTCCCTTCACAGTTGACGCAACAACCTACTTTCCACAGAACTGGCCTCCCAACACCCACTGTCACACTCGTTTACAAGGCATTCCCTTGCAGTTGATCCCAACAACATCCGCTCTACAGAACAAGATAACCTACAACTGTGACCTCCATCAACCAAATGTGCACCAAGCATATCCTGTGACCTTGACCACACTGGCATAAGAAATACAGTGTAACCCAGATATAAGAGAGTTGTCGGGACCGGAGAAGAAGTCTCTTATATCCGGGTTTCTCTTATATCCAGGTTTGGTCTAATTTATATACATTAACACAGGCTCTAATTTGGGACCAGAGAAAATCTTTCTTATATCCGGGTTTCTCTTATATCCGGGTCTCTTATATCCGGGTTACACTGTAGTTCAACTACTGACACTACATGTACTCCTGATCACTATTCCTGTACTCTCAACTAACAATGAATGTTGTTTCATTCTAATCCCCGTTATTCCTTTCTCTCGCTACAATAAGCTTAATATAACAACATTAGTATAAAAATAATTTTAGTTAGTGGTCTTGTTATTGGTATACCACAGTAGTTAATAGAGAAAAGTGCAATTGATTGAGTGCATATATATATTCAGTTCACTTTCCCATAACTAATTTTATCTTTTTATGGAGGTAAGAATATTGTGTTTTGCCAATCTCTAAAGTGGAGAAAAACCTTCCTGCTTTAAAAAAAATCAGTATCTGAAATCCTGGGTTTTGAATACTTATCTCTGGCACCAGTGAGAAATATGCTATCATTTCAGTCATGAGGCAAGCTAATCCACTCTCATATAATTACCTGCTCAGGTAAATAACAGCAAAGTGTCCACTCAATAAAGCATACATACGCTAATAATCTTGAAGTGTTTGTGAGTGCATGTGAGACTTTGTTGTTTGTTAGTCTGGATGTACTTCTTTTCCACATTCCTTTCTCAGCCTGTAAGGGTTTTGTCTGGAATATAGATATATCATTTTATCTGAAGATAAATTAAATAATCTTATAACCACTTCTCCAACTGCAGAGATGTCAACTTCTCAGCTATGAATATCAAGTTAAACAACATAATGCCAAGTAGTTTGTATGAGTTGTAAATATAAGCCAAATACATAAACATGGATTTATCATTAGAATCTAATAATTTGTGCTATACTGTTTGCTTTCATGGTATATTAAATTAAATTTATGTAATAATTATTATTCAAACTGCTTCTCTTTCATAATTAATAGTATGTTAGTTTTTGATGGTTACTTATTTTGTAACAATATTTCCTGAGATTTTAAATGTTGCTTAAAGTGACTTTAGTGCAACACAAAAAATACAAATTTGGAATTCTTTTGTCAGTCATTCTTTGCATTATCACTGCTACAGCCACCACGACTGCTGCTGCTATCACGAGAATTATTATTCAGTAAATCTCGAAAAATTATTGAAATATAATATTATTTTTAAATAATTAAAATTCTAGTTGAATAAATATCAGGATTATATACAAAAAAATCAAATCAAATAATTTTTTCTATTTTTAATAAATTTAATTTAAAATTAAGCAAAAAAAACTTTACACCTTCGTTATTTCTATATCTGAACTAATTTGAATATTATTATATATAAATAATATGTATAATTTAAAATGTATTATATTTATATAATTAATTATTGTTTCAAAGAAAAACTGCTTAAGAAAAAAAATTGATTCGTATGGATGGATGGAGTGAAAATGACGGAAAAATGAAAGCCATGATGACACTGACAGTTTATTACTTTATTTTATTTACCGTTCATTTTCTAAAATTTCTAAAAATAACGATATGCTGAAAATAGAAATAAAATATTTTATTTCATATTTAGTGCAACGAAAAAACTCGCTGTATTTTTATGAAGAAAGGAAAAAAAACAATAAAATCTCAGTGAAAAATTATCGCTACTGTGATATACTCGTCCTAAGGGGACGTCTTGTGGTAACCATTGAATATAATCCCATATTGTTTGGCTTTGTTGTAGCGAACCGCGTGGGGTTTAAAAACTTGCAATATGAGTGGTGGAGTTTATGGTGGAGGTAAGATTATTTCCTTAATTTATTCTTCGAAAATAAATTTAAGTACTATCTACATGACTTCAATTCAACGAATATTCAAGTTGCAAAAGTTTTTTTCTAATTTTCTCCGTAAATTGGGTTGTTGAAAAATCGACTTCCTGTTTGAGGGGGAAATCTTAATACCGGCTTTGTTGATTTTAAAATTTTAGACATTAAACTTATCAAATATGTCATTTTGAGTATTACAGTATCTTTTATAATCTTTTTGCATCTAAATGATTTATCAATTCCTTCTCACTTTAATTTCTCTTCTATTTTCACCTCCATTTTCTCCACCCGGTATTGGAACACATGGCATGGAAACAATGCCACTTTACTTTTTCAATTTAATTTTGAGGAAAATTAACAAATATATTTTAAAAGTTAAACTACGTACTTGTGAAGTTTCCCCAGTTTGTCCACTTTCGCAAATCTTTATAAATTTATTCTACCGTTTTATTGTCGAAATGTTAAACTTTATGCGAAGTTTCTGGAAATAAACAAAAAAGTTTTGTTTTTTTTAAAATTCAGTGAAATTATTAACTTTGAATACTATACTACGCGGTAATACATTTTCAGATTAGTCAATCATCAGTCTCTCTTGTTCTTTATTTTTTTTTCTTTTTCTAAAATATCGCGTACTTCTAAAAATCTCTGAACTAAACAGTTTTTCTTTTTGCATGATTTGAGCCGTAATTTCATTTCTTTCAAAGAAACGAGATCTCCCGCCATGAACTTTAACCAAATTTAACAAAAAATCAAAACAAAAAGTGTTTTTACATTAAAATTTACAGACTTCAATTCAAAATGTATTCATTGGAATATAAACGGTAAAAATAAATTGAGATGTATCTTCTGACAGATTTTTTTTTTACCGGCTCACAAACCATAAAAAAATTAATGCTAAAATAAAATTTGGCATTCTCTCATTCATTCCAAAATGATGAATAAGTATAAGTTTATTATTATTTTTTTAAGATATAGATCAAAAATTGGAAAGACATTTAAAAAAAAAAAAATGTATGCTAAGGCTAAAGCTTGCATTCATTGAGTTGAGAATATTTTATCCTTGTGTACTAAAACATTCATTTATTTGATGCTTAATTTAAAAATGTTTTCAAAAAGTAAAGTCCAAACTAGATAACCTTTCTAAAAATGATCCACGCATAAGTTGGTTACTTTGTTCAATGGGTTTTTTTTCTATCAAATTTAGAGGAAACATTGTTAAATTTTACGAAATTTATGTTATTTTATGTATGTGCTATGACACTTCAGGGCATATGGGCAATCATGGTTCTTCACAACTTCTTGTTTTTCCTAGCTCTAAGTAATTTTTGATCTTACCACCCCTCTCTGTCCTTGTTTTGCTATCTATTCACAGAAGTGATTTACTCTGTTTCCCTTTATTCTCTTGCTTTCAATGTGTTCTGAGTGTTAATTCCTCTGTGCCGTCCTTCCTTATCAAAGATCCCAGAAATTTTAACTCTTTCTGATTATAAGTAAATTTACTTGTAATTTTTATTTTCTTAAAACTTCTTTCATGCTCTTGTATTCTGTACATAATACTCTCAGCATTCACCAGTAGAACTATATCTCTTTAAGTCTCGCCTTAATCTGTGAGGTGATTGTTCAGTCACTGTCATATATGAGGTGGTATATAGCAGTTCAGCACTCATTTCTTTGTTTCTCACAATATCTACCATCTCTTAATACTTTGCTTAGTTTTTGGAAAATGTCTTGTGATTGTGATGCATCTGTTTCTGCACTGTCCAAATAGTTAAATTTCTGTACCTGCTTGATTTTGATGCTTACATCTTAGAGCATCTGTTTTTGCTAACAATCCTGCATTATATCTTTAAAGTTAAGTTTTCTTTTTGCTTTCCTTTATTACTTTGACTCATGATGATCACTCTTTGTTGTGGTGGAGAGCCTTGCATAGTGTAATGACTCTGGGAATGATGCTGTTGGGAGTTCTAAACTCCTGATCAGGCCAACCTTGGCGACAGTGCAATGACAAACAACCAAGACTAAGCGTGACCAACCCCAACGGTGGAACAAGCAGGTGACTATTACAACAGCTCTCCATGGTTGAACCAGTGGATGAAGAGGGCTGCACATTAGACATGCCACTTGAAATTATAACAGTTAACAGCAGTCCATTGTAGTTTCCTAACTGGATTCTGCATGTCTCATTCCATATGTGCCGCTAAGGAAAGTAATGAAATTGTGTATGTATGTGTGTCACTTCTTGTGAAATTGAAATCCATCACCTTAAACAAATTGACACCATTAGCACTTTCTTATACTCTGATTTTGTTTCACCTCCAACCAAATCTTGTGAAGCCAGATGGCAATAGGTAATGGGTGACAGGAACAAGTTTTGGTGAAACTGGAAGCTGCTAGTCATGAAGCTGAATGTTGGCAGTGAATTTAGTCATCAACACCATTATCATAAAAGAAGCAATCAGCAAAAAAGAAATTTATTTCTTGGATACGCAATAAAGCTGATGATGACTACCTTGATTTTCTGAGTTTGCCATTAGCACTTTGTCATTCATATATCTTGTTAAGATTATATCTATCAATAATAAGTCCTTGTGTAGATTTTTGAGTCCTTCGGGATTGTTTTGCTATACAGGTTAAATAAATCTGTCAAGAAAACATATCCTTATCTAATTATTCCTTTTTGTATATTCATTAAACTTGTTTCCTATCTTTATGCATACTATTTATTCATAGTGGAGATTATGGATTATTCAAATATTTTCCTATGTAAATCAGATTTTTCTAGTATTTCAAGTAGGTCTTTGTATTGTACCGGATCAAATGGTAATATTAGCCATATTATCCTCCATAATGAAGCATTCATTGACCGAGCAGCCAGTGTTGCTTTTGGTTGAAATTTATAAAATCTTTCTCTTAAAATGATTTTTCAGGGAAATAGGTTTCTCAAGTCCAGTAGCAATTATTGCTCTCTCCAGTATTAATAAGGGGCTTCCTTAATGTTTTCTTTGAAATACTGTGGAATCCCAAAATCTTGATTAAGTTATTTTCTCTTTAAGTTGCATGCAATATCCATTTTGGGTGTTGCTGCTGTTGAAAGTCCTCGAGTGATGTTTTTGTTATTTGGTACAGTTCTTTGTGATTTTGTGGCATCAGTCCACAAGATTCAAAGAAGAGTGGTCTTCATTTAGACCTACAGGCTTCATTTGCTCAAAGCCATTTTTAACTATTCATCTGAGAAAAAGTGGTTGTCTCCAACTGACAGTTTAGGTATTTCTCAATGAGTTTGGCACCATGCATGACATCCATATGAAAGTCTCAATTTGATGGGTTTATTTAAGAACATGACTCAAGATTTTAGGTTGTTTTGTAACAATTTTCAGTGTTGGGTGAAACTACCCCCTAGCATATTCATGTTCAACTTTATCTTCTATGCTAAATTTGTAATATCTGATCCATACACTGAGGTATTTGACGTAATTGGTATTTACTAAATCTACATCTTGAATTTTTATGGTGGATTCACAGTATATGCCATCACTGCTTCATTCCAATTCCAGATCATGTGTTTCGTTTTGGAAAGGTTCCTAATTTTTTTTTTTTTTTTTTTTGTTAATGATCATTCTTATCCTAACAATAAATACTTATATCATCAGTATTTCCCTCCTCATCATCGGTTTATTGACCTCTGGAGGGTAATCATGATCTTTGTCTTCTATTAGTAGATTTGTCTGTGATGTGGTATGGAATGCTTAAATTATCTGTGGCCATGACTTCACATCTGTGTAAATGCACAGGGCTTAGTCTAGAAAAGGATTAAATAGACTGAGGCACTTCTTTCCATCTTCACATACACCTGATTAGATTTTAAATGTTTCTGTATTGAGGTCCTCACCAGACATGTATGATTTTGTGTAACAATATACTTCCTATAATAGATCAGTGAGGTCAGAGCATGGAAGACAGGTTCTAACAAGGTGAGAAGAGAAGATCTCTATTGATTCTGTGAGATGAAAATTGTCTAAGGCTAACAGTACCTCTGTTATGATCTCATCTGATTCCACTGTTTTGATTCTGATCATCTTGGTCAGTGCCAGTATTAACTCAGATTTTAATATTGCAGTTCTTTTCTTATTTTTATGTATTGTAGCTTTTACTTCTCTGTTTTTATGGAAGAAGTTCTCTAATGTATTTATTGCATCTTTTCTTTTTCTATTATGAGTTCTATTTTTCTGTATTTTATGCGTCTTGTTGAAGAGCACATTTTCTCTTTTTAGGCATGCCTGCTCTGCCTATGTTCCATAGCATTTATCTCTGTGTACTTCTTGTTGAGTCATTCATCTTTTGCCTGCTTGCTTTTTTTAAATATCTTTGTTTAACATTCTATATTCTGTACCATTCCTTGGCATTATCTGCTGTTTCATGAGTTTGAAAATTTCATCTGTCATCGATTACTTTTTTTCTCTTCTCTTGAGATGGCCTTGTGCTGATGTTACTAGTGTTCCCTTTACCTTTACTGACCTCTAAACTTCCATATTTGTTCTTGGATATATCAATATGTGTTTGCAAATTGAGTAAAATCTGGAATCTCTTTTATTGTAATTTACATGCTACTTTTTTTGTCATTAATTTCTGTAATGTTATCCTCGGTCTGTATATAACTAAGAGGTGATTGCTTTCACATTCGGTGCTTGGGTATGTTTTAGTATATAAAATTACTTTTCTAAATTTTTTATTGATTGTTCTTGGCTTTTCCATGTTCTCAAATCTTTTGAGTATTTGTCAAACCAAATTTGGGTCAATTATATTCACTTGCATGCACATGCCCTTGAGAAAGGTATAAATCCACCTTTCTCATTCAACTATAGGTTAATTAGTAAGACTTGCATCCCCCATGAAAATACTTAAACCTAAAAAATATTTTCTGACTTTAAATACCCTATAATTGGTTGATAAGCTGTAGAAAATGAATCAGTTGA